AACTGTTTGGCAAAAAAGTGTTTTATCCTTGTGCTGACTCCTTTCAAGCACAGTTCAGATCCACACCAGATTCTCCTTCTCAGGGTGTTTCTGTTTCAGAGGATGAGTCCTGCAGCTGAAGTTACGGGCTGCATGTGACCTCTTGTCCCACAGAGAAGCGCCTCTTCATCTTACTTGCTTGTTGCGTATCACAGGAATGAAATAAACAGCCAGCCAAACTCCACATATTTGAAGCTTTGGCTTTGCAGCTAGGTGTTTTTATTTACTTGAAGGAGTGCATTTATGGCTGTGTATGTCTGTTTGCTAAAGAGACATTATCAAAGGACTTTGAAGTTCCAAAGAATTCAAAACATGGAGGTCAAGCTGGGTCAAGATCATACATCTCTTTACCTCAAAGACACATGAAACAGCACTAATGAAAAACAAAATGCCGTGAGAGCACACTTACTCCTGTCTCATTCTCACACACACTCACTCACATACAAGGTATAAGGAGGTTTAATATGTACGAGTGTGTATGAGTTTGAGAATGAGGTATTGAGAGAAAAAGAGACAGAGAGAGAAAGAGATATGAGGCGAAAACTGCGAATTGCTGTAAACCAAATCTACTGTATATTGTTGTCTCTGTACACCAGGCATCCTCAAAGTCCGGACTCCGGTCCGGATCCGGACCGAACCACAACTGTCTCTGGACTCTGAGCAAATTATACTTTTCATATGTGTTATCTGCGAGACATCGCCACAACGCAACGAGTCTAANTCTCTCTCTCTCTCTCTCTCTCTCTCTCTCTCACACACACACACACACACACACACACACACAAAAATAAATTGTGTTGCTAATCTTTGACATATCCAAGACTGTTATAAAAAAAAGCCATTCCCGAGATATGTATTATATGGTAAATAACACATTTTCTCTGTTTTCATCATGAAAAACAACAGCGATTTCATGTATTCAAAATGGCATTTCAAGGGTTAAAATCCTGAAAATGATTCAATATTTGGTATTTTTGATTAGGACTGAAGTTGCTTTAAAGATTGAACCCAAAAAAGTGGTGCCAAAAATATTTTAATATAATGTTTTTTATCTCGAATGGTCAATAAGCGTAGTCAATTTGTTACACAGTGAATTAAAGACCCATTTGAACATTTTTAATTGGAATTCCAAAATAGATCGAGAAAATAGCCTTGTTACAAAAAATCAGGCTATTTGCACCAACACAACCAAAGTTATTGAAAAATAACCCATATGGACAAAAACGTCCACAGTGATACCGGAGGGTTAACATACCTATATTGCACCCCAGGCATGCTGAGTGGAGGGTATAAAAGGAAGCAATCTCAAAAAGAGCTGGTGAAAAGTCAGGAAAGGTCAAGGGTTATTTCTGATTCACACAAAACCTGTCTTTGATGCTCCTTAGAGCACACAGATATTTAGTTGTTATCTTCTCTGTGGGAAACCGACATTAAGGGTGGATAAATAAAAACCTCTACCCCCCACATGCCCTGAAATGTTTAATTGATATAACATGTCAAATAAAATGGGGGGCGACTATAAAACTGCTAGGAAATGTAAAGTCCAAAGGGTGTCTTTAATGTGATTTGCAACATCATCTCTACCTGTGCAAATGTGCACAGGTAGACATTCAAGTCAGATAAATCATATAGAGATATTTACACTCCCAAGGTTCGTCATAAACCATTTCTTACTGTCATAATGTCTGCAGGCTCACAGGTCTACTTGCGGAGAGAACTGGTCTGCCAGGGTGACACTATCAAGCTTCGTTATGGAGAGAAACCAGAGGACAGTCCTTACCTATGGGCCCATATGAAGACATACACAGAGATTACAGCCAGAGTCTTCTCAGGTCTATGCCTGGTCAACTGTCTGTCCACCCCTCTGCATGTTTCTGAGGTACTCTCTAACTTCTCTTTGTATTTCAGTGCAAGCAGAGCTGGCTTAACATGGTATTCCTGAGCATATACTTTTCAAGCTGTTTATTGTAACATGTCTTGTTTTGTTAAAAGCAATCATTGTGTACATATTTCATCTTTGAATCCAATATCATTGCTACTCCTTCTGCCCTCCCCTTCTTCATTAAGAGAGCACTTGGTTTCTGAATTACCTGACCTATTAAATTAATTTAAATCGCATCTCTGCCAATTTCCAAGCATCTCAGTGCCAGCGCTGGAACTCGCAGGAACTCCTCACTTTATGCACTTCCCAAGCTGGAGGTTTCCAGAGCTGCCCAAAAACCAGCAAAGCCTCACCCCAAGCAGCCCCCCCATAACACAGAAGAATTAGATGGTCATTTACCAAATAAATTAAGAAAGACAACAAAGAACATCCATATTTAGTGATCAATATGACCCAGACAAGTGATTTCCTCTGGAATTGGAATTGGTTAAATACATATTATGAGTATCTCTGATGGCTTGTACATATTTGATCTAATCCCAAACTGGTATTATGAGTCTGTAAGGAGACACACATTAAGCCATGGTCAATATACTGCAGATTAATTGCTGTGTACATTATGTGTTGTTCCTTTTAGGCGATGCTTTCAGCAGCCAGATCCATCAAGCCTAACCTATATGTGATAGCTGATATCTCTACCAGCAGTCAGCATATAGAAAATGTCCATGTAACACGCCTGGGAATCACAAGTTTGGTGCGAGGTACTGACAATCTTTGCAACTTTTTATTGTTATTTCTCTTCCTCGTGTTTTCACTCGTGTGTTTCTCTATCAACAAGATTTTTTCTTTTAACTTTTTGCCATGATTACGCTCTCCTAGGCGAACCACTGGTGTGTCCTATATCCTGCAGTATTAAAGAAGACTTGAATCTAGAGCTTGAGACCATAAACTCTTTGGCAAAAATGTTTACTTGTTGTTAAATCGAGTAATTTCTTATAAACCTAAATACAACCAGGGCAATGGATATTAGAGAGAATTCAAGTTAAAGGGATTTGCTCCACAATTCAGAGGTTGCCTCTTGTTGATAATGTTGACTTTGTCAATCAAACGTCAACATCTTTGACAAAAAAAACATGTTTTTTGCATGTCTATAAAGCAGATAACGATTAGTCAAGACTGGTATAATAAGTGTATATTTGATCAATTAGATGACAATGGTGGCTCTGTAGGATTCTTTCCAACTCTGTACTCAAAACCATTTTTTTCGAATAATTCCAGAGCAACGTCCAAAAGTGTAACGTCCAAAAGTCAAAATGTATTTGAATAAATAGTATGTCAGATTTTTAACTAACTAAATATCCACCTTTATTGGCGTTTAAATACTTATATTATATATAAAATATCTCAAGTCAACTATCTTGGAAAGTACAATTTAGTGGAAGCGTTGTGCAAAATTACAGCTTGCAACTGTCACTGCATCTTTCTTCGGTTTGCATAAATCACACAGTAGTTTGGTAGGATGAGATTATTCAAGCCTTCAGGGCAGGGGCGCCGCCAGGGATTTTGGGCCCCATGAAAAGATATCACATTGGTTACTTAAACATTTTTTTCTTAATGTTCTAAAATGGTTTGGGCCCCTGTCAGTCACGGGCCCTTAGAATCGTTCTAAATTTTCACCACCTTACGGCGCCCCTGCTTCAGGGACATCTGTGTTTTTTTTATTCGTGGCCATAGTCAGATAATTAGGTTATGAGACCACTCATAAAGATGTTATAGCTTAACAAAATACAACTGTTACATGTAAGAAGAGAAAAAAAAGATTCCTCACTGTACTGCGCATTCAAAAAATCTTTATATTTGAAAAATATCAAAAATGTGAATTATTGCAACCTGAACCATTAGGTTAGACATTTAATGCCTCTAACTCACTTTATTAATTAACCAGTAACCATACCAATACTGGAATTAAATAGCATTAAACAGCATTTTATTCAGGTGGCATGTTGCAGTACTACTTGGTGATTGGACTTTCTGCATAGTGAGTGTTTTAATCATTACTCTCCATGCTGATGTGATTTATAGTAGCTTCTCTTCCATTTGTTAGATGATGTAGGCTCCTCAGAGAGGCAGGAGGATTGGGGTTATCAGTCCTTGTTTGGCAAGGAGCCAGTAGGTGCCTTCTGCCAGCCCAGCCATCGGCCTCTGATCCCAGCTGTTACTCATACAATGTTAATGGACAGAAGCCACAACCATCACAGCCCCATCCAGGTCTGCTCATTTAAAATATAAACAATTCTTCCAAATATTATGTTCCTGCTAACTGACATTTTTGCTAATTTTTTTGCACTGCTAAATCTACTGCTTTGGGGACAGCTTGCCAGGCAATAATCAAGACAAATTAGCTCAGACTGGTACTATTATTACCCTATTATTACAGTGGCAAGAAAATTCATTTATTTATACATTTGTACTTAAATAAGGTCTGATCTTCATCTGAGTTACAATAATCAACAAACACAATTCGTTTTTAATACAGATGTAGCACTTCATTTCAGACAGTTTGAAACGCGAGGGCCGTGATTGGTACGTGATCTGCCCTCGAGACTGCCAAGGCACACNTTAAATAAGGTCTGATCTTCATCTGAGTTACAATAATCAACAAACACAATTCGTTTTTAATACAGATGTAGCACTTCATTTCAGACAGTTTGAAACGCGAGGGCCGTGATTGGTACGTGATCTGCCCTCGCTCAAGGGAAAACCTCCAGTTTGACTTGAGACCGCCCCCGTGATAGATAAATGTAATTATAATGAAGCCAGCTGCAATGGATCATTGATCCACCAGGGGGTGCAGTGGGGTTCCACACTGGAGCTCATGTGAAATAAAGTGAGATACAGTACGCTGGATGTACAGCGGAACTTTGTTAAGATCCATATGTCACGGATATCATACTACTGTGCTAAATAAGAGACATGTAATCATTTACAAAACATCACCATGTTGTTATTTAACAAAATAATGTTGTTTAGTCGAAAAAAACGAACGGGAGGAAATGCAGCCCGGCTCTCGGTACACGATGTGTACGGGGTAC